GACGCATGGACTGACATCGGCAGTGTTTCATATCGATATAGGACGCCATTTTGAATCGCACGTTTATATTTACCGTTGAAAACTTTCACTTGTTTTCTAGGTGATGTTGAAGGAAAATGTCTGATCACATTGGCGGAGCACAGAAAGCCAGAGAGTATAAAATGTGAGTTATCCATTCAGTGATTGTATGATACACATTGAACTAAATGCACCAAAATTCTCTGTCCTATATGTATGGTTGATCTATATATCAACAGTGTGAACTGACGCCGAGTACTTCTGTCCTAACAAAATTATAATCAACAGACAGAGCTGGTATTGACGAATATATTGAGGAGAATTAACGATGAGGCATTCATCAGTGTCGAACTGTATGAACAACTTCGTTCATCTGGTTATAAGTCACTGTGACTGTTCGGCGTAACCAACATGATCAAACGAGATATCGTGCTCCATCCACCGTTGAAAATTTCTCTTAGGAATCTTAGAATGTTCAGAATAGTTCTCCAGTTTTTTATTATAATAATAATGATAACAGCTTTACTTCGTACAGTGTTGATCGTATGTACATAACTTTCAGCAGAGTTTATTGCATTATAATGTTCCTTCGTTGATGGTCTTCAAATAAAGAATTAATCGACAGTAGATCGTTTGACACAGTGCTATCTGATCAAAGCTGAATACAAATCGCTTATGATATTCATTCCTTCTCTCCCTCGATAAATGCACCGCATTCGACTGAATGACAATTGTCAGACATTCACGAGTACATTTAGAGACCCGAGAATGTAACCCAGGAACAGTTACCTCATGTGTGCTCTTTCTCAGGTCCAGTAGAATGCTGTGCATAAGCAGGTTGTAAACACTTTGAATATACGCGAGTGTGAACAACTCCACTAGCTGTCACATTTCAAAAGCTTAAAACAAGCTCGACGAGAGAAATTATATGCGATATAATGACAGATGTGTTGTGGTAGCACGAATTCCATTCAGGCCGCCGTTAAGCGAATTCATGATGAAGAGAGAGGTCATCCCTTCAGACTAATATATGCGAAGGTTAAACAACAGGCTTTTATCCGAATCGTTTCGATTATTTTTCTCATTCCGGTGTTCCCAAACAGTATATACACTCGAATTCTATTTTGAATTAACCAAGATTAAAAATTGCTTGCACTTCTTCACACATACTGGTTTGTATTTCATGAATAATCGCCATCCTTTGAATTCAGATCGCATTGCGGGTTGTCATGTTTTACTGAGATTATTTACTTTGCTCTTTATGCTGTCGGTTTTTCTGAATTTCTAACTCCATGTGTTGGTGGTAAAAACATGAACTCAACTAAAGCTGAGAAGACCGTATACGACAAGGAACAAGATTTGAATGCTGCAGTCGGTAAGTTGGAGTTCATGTCTTGATTTATCAAATGATAAAATTGATTTCACGATGTGGATGACACCCTTTCAATGTTGCATGCTAGTATGATTTAGTCATCAGGAAGCACAACTCACAGCCATTCCAATAATCAAATTATCCTGGTGACTGATATTTCCTAACTTATCTCATGTAAATAAAGGTGTGTGAGAAGAGAATATTGGACCACTTGTAAAGTTGAATTCGATGCTAGTTTGTTCACTTGGTAAAGCACACGGTGTCATGTGATTGGTGAGTGAATGACATCACAAACAATACTATTCGTAATCATGTATTTTTCGCCACTGTTTGAGATAGCTGGTTGATTCTCGATCACGCTTTCCAAAGAGCATTAGAAAGACTTTTCGATCATCCCAATTATATTCAAATCCTACAAACCTTATTTGTTTCACAATACCTCACTGGCGGATTAACTGAACCCCATCCAGAATCTTCATATGACATTATCTGATCTTTCTATAATTTGTCACATGAAGTTCATCAACTTTCTCAGCTTTGTTATTAGTAAAACAATGGAAAATGTTGAACAAAACTGAACCACTAACTTACTAGTAAATATTAATAGGACTCATTTTGGAAAGTATGTGACGAATTCCTCGTCCATGGAAGTTTCGGTTCACCATGAAAGGACTCTCTCACTTGGATCCGATTTTTCTCCCTTGATATGAACTAATATTTCTGACTCAGCCATTGATTCTCACTTCATCTTCCCATTCTTCTTCTTCTTCTTCTTCTTCTATCTAACATACACTTTTCGTCCTAAGTCTATTGTAAGAGCAAGTAAATATGCAAATCGTCTGCGACAACATCTCCGAATAGTGATTATCAACTGCTTCCATGAATAACAAAATTCGTCACTGAACGTTTACGCTTATATAGTTGGCAACCATAAGCTTCAGTTTGCAGGTGTTATAATCTCATATCTTCCCGATTTTACAGTCATCATGGTTCAAGCAGACGTGTGATTACACAGAGCTGATATCGTCAGTAATAGCCTATTTGCACATGCGTACTTACTCTCATTTTCTGGTCGCTTTCCGTAACGGAACTCATGTGATTCCGTTAAATTCTGTGCAAAATCAACCGGATGCTTCATTAGCACCAGATAGTGTCACGCACATTCAGTCTACCAACTGAATGGTGAATAGTAAGAGGTCCAGTGAAGAGTTCATTCTATATTCATCGTACTAATGTTTTTCCCTCATATTTGTATACTGATCTGCGGGATTAGTCAAAAGCACACCAGTGTCTCACTATCACTCTAGGAATCGGCTCACATGTTGCATGGATATAAAATTTGTTCTCATTTGAAATTTCAATCATGAAATAACCTGAAGCCTTCACAATCTTCCTTACCAGGAACTATAAATGAGCAGGTGTATTCAACGGAAGACAGCAGAATTGATTTTCTCAAATGTAAGTTGAAGTGAGCTATGAATATCATACATGCTATTTAGTTCTCAGCCCTATGGACAGAGTGAGTAGGATGCTTCATGAAATGGAAGAAGAGAGAGAACACCGTTATGGTAAGTCTAATTCATGTTGGACATTTTATCCAAGTCGATACTTTTCATGAACGTATTGTCGCATCGATTAACTTTCGTATGGAGGAGGATTCCTACAGGTGTCCATCCACAAGGTTATAGGTTGGTGACAGTCAAGAAATTACAAATGAAACTAATTAGGTGACGACAAAATTCCAGTGTTATTATGCACGTGAACAGATTAGTCTATTCGTGACACTACGAAATACAGTGGAAGCTGATTCGAGTGCACTGTAAGTTGACGGCTTCGTGAACCGACTGACCACAAGACGCGAAACAAACAACCAAACACTCATCCCACATCACGACATACCTGCTTACTCATAACAACCACCCTCTAATACTTTCTGACCTCCATGTGTTCCCTGGTCGGCATCACACAAAAATAAATTCCAGAAAGTCTGTTGAAACTATTTTAAAATCAGCTCTATTTTCTACTGTTCGACTATAATCCACAATATAATCGAATCAACTCAAGATCAACTTGGTCATTGTCCATCCAGTAAAACTGCATTCTCATGCATTCTCGAACTCACACTTAGTACTTATTCGACTTTGTTCATTTATTCATACAATTCAACACTACTTTATAAATACACAAGAAATAATTTCATTTGATTTTAGCCATTATCGTAGACTCGAGTTAAAGGAAGCAGACAAGTTGTTTTCATCAAAGTGCAGAATATTTTCTACACGTTTCAGTTGTTGACAAGATGTGATGACATTTTGACTCTGATAAATGCCTGCTTTTAACTTTATGCAAATTAAAAATAGAGCTAATTGGTTCAATGTCTACTTCTTGCTTTCTAGTTGTTTGGCATCTGTCTAAAGTTTAACCTTTTAAAAGTGACGTTGTCAGAGAGTGAAAAGTGTAGTCACATTAGAGATCTCTCGACATTTATGGGATTTATAATGAGTTAGTAATTAAAGTACAACAACGTTGGCCAACAGTTTAATATATTAATATAAACGAATAATTTGGAAGTTTGTGTAAAATTTTATGATTAACGATGTCATTCTCATATAGAAATAATTCTATGCAGTTCATCGGTAGAGTCAACACAGTATACGCATTCGCACATCTGCACAGCAATATAAGTTGATCTGAATAGTGGTATGAGAAGACGGAGATTAACTGAAAATGTGATGTATTTGAGAAATACACTTTGAACAATCTGAACACACATTTACTCGTCAGGTAAATTTATATGAAAAATAAGGATCAATTAAGTACATAGTGACAAAAATGACTTAAATATAATAAGAATAATTAACACTACGTTTGTTTATCTAATCAGATAAGAATTACCGAGGTGGGTTAAGAGTAATAATAAATTGTTTCTGTACACAAAGGAGTGAAGGAGGCTCAAGTTTACGAATACTACTGCCTCGGTGTATTTCAATAAGCGCCCTTAACCCTTTTCATAAATAACCTTAAGAGCTGTTGCGACATCAATCTAGCGGTTCATATCGATTAGGTGTCTAGCTACAGACGAAGTTGGTAATCTACCGCCTGCCTCTGTCGATTTTTCAGAGTCCATCTATTTCCCTAACAATTCTAAAATATGTTCTTCCGCCCTAACTCCTCCCTATTTATATGGGTTGTAACATAGTCACTTCCGCACTTTTGTAGTTTATAGTGGAGCATATTTCTAGCTTTTTCAATAGCTGTAAGCCAGATTGCATAATAAGTTCTACAGATGACCGAGTTTAGTCCCTGTTTGTGAAGGATCGACTAAGAAAAATGATCATTATGTAACAAATATAAAGGATAATGGAAAGTCTCAGAAAGGTCAATGATGTATAAGGATAGTGAGAATAGATTGGAAATATCCCCATCTTTCGCTACAGATGTGATTAGGAAGTTGCATCACCCAGTGCCAGTGGGTTGTTCGCTGACGAAATCTCAGTACAGATACAGGAGGCTTGTTTGGCATATGCCAGTTTACGCTGTCTCTGGCGTAGATGTGATATCCGGCTGGCTGGCTGTCAACCAAAGGGCGTGTGTACTGCTCAGCAGTCTTCTCCGTCCTCCTTTATGGCTGTGAGATCTGGCCATTGAGAGTGGAAGACATAAAAAAGCCAGCTAGCTGTCTGTGATCATACCTGTCTGCTTTCTATCTCCTATGTGAAGTGGTACAATAAGGTGAGCGATATTGAGGTTAGGCTTCGGTCGAGTTCTAGGTAAGGAGGGGTGATCAGTAGACGAGGTCGTGAGGTTACATCAATTGAGATGGTTAGGACATGTTTTAAGTATTCCTAGACATCGCCCTCCTCGACTGACTGGCAATTTTAGCTGACATAGGATGGATCAAGTTTGAAAAGTGACAGTGGTGGTCAAATCAAAACATGGCATCAGTCAATGGAATCTTTGACAGGTAAAGTCACGTAGGAAGATATAGACTTCATGGTTAGGGTCCTCGGGACTGCAAAAACCAATGGCTGAAGAGAATCGGTGATATGGCTCATAGTCGTTCTCAATGGCTGGTGCAGATGCATCCACTCCTTGCGACTTATATTATCCAATAAAACTATATTGTTCTTCAATATTACTATTCTTTTCGCCTTATACCTCTGTTTGAAAAATCTTTTTACTCGCTTCTCTTGCTTTGCGTGCTACATGGGATATGGCGATTTGAACTGATACACATCTGTGCAAAGTTCTACATTGTAACTAGTCAGTCATATATAACTATGCATTAGAAAGAAAAGAGGGAAAACTCTAATACAAGCTCTATATACATAAAATAATACTATACATATCATGCAGTCTGATCAATATTATATTACATTATTCTAAAATTTTGAAGTGACAAAATCCAAAATCTTCTAGAAATATCATATATACCAAGAAATATTGCACCTCCAAAAGACAATAGAACCACTCGAGGTACCAAGCCGGAGAACAGCCTGAAATGAAAGGAAATTAAAACAACAAAAAACCAATTAAGAAAATAGTTCCGCCTCATTTAATTGAACACACAGAGAGAAATCACTGGAGTGTTTTTTTTACTTGAAACTTTATACTTGCTCTCCACATATTTATTTGAAAGGCGAAACATAAAAGTGATCTAAATTAACATGTAACTGCTATCAAGCAGACATTTAAAAAGCAAGAGACGATATGAAACACTTTTTAAACTACTCATGAATCCCTATTTAACAGTGGACACATTAATTATCCTTCCCAACCTTGAAAAAAGCTATGAATTGGTTGAGCAACCTAATATTTTAGGGTTTTAAAATCAAGTTTCTAGTTAGACTAGTCGGTATCAGTCACCCAAGAACCACACCATGTAATATTACGAGAGTTTGCAGTGGTCATTCAACAAAAAACAAATGTTTCCCTATGATTTCTTGGAGTTTATGATGACTTTGCCGGAGTGCCATGGACACATATTAAGCTTCCGTCTTCCCGGATGACTAAGTTTAGCTGGAGTGGAGCTCGATTAGAAAACAGTTTGATACATATTGCCAAATCAGAATACAAAACAAACTGACAAAGGCTTTAACTGTTGACCTAAGACGGGATGAGGTTAGTAACCTCATATTCAACCTTCCCTCTTTGTCGGCCCCACAACAGGCTTAGCCAGGTGAAGGAGCGCGTCGGCGGGAGACCGAACCCTGGACCATATGTGTGGTCGGCGGGCGTTCTACCGCTGTGCCACCGACGCACCAAGTACTCATAAGGTTAAATAAAATAAAACTGAAAACACCTTATCTAAATAGCTGTAATAAAACGTAAGACCACAGTATTACACAGAAATTTGTATCAAAGAATACTAAAATGTATTCTTATCTCTAAACTATTTGCTTTGTGCCGTCTAAGTGCAAAGTACTGTTACAAGATTGGCAGGAGCCTGGCTGTACCTGCACTCACTCTTGCGGGTGAACCCCTTGAAGTTGTTGATGAGTTTGTGTACCTGGGTAGTTGTGTGAGTGCTGGCAGAGGGGTGATGGATGACATTTCCAACCGTATAACGAAGGCTAGGGTGGCATACATCAACTTGAGCTACGTCTGGCGCCGTCACGATGTTAGCCTGGCTGTCAAAGGTCGGGTATACAATGCTTCGGTGCGGGCTGCCCTGCTCTACGCCTGTGAAACCTGGCCTTTCCGAGTAGGCTGAGGATGTGTGGCGGCGACTGCGTGTTCGATCATCGCTGTCTCCGATGGATTGATTGCGTTCGATGGCATCATCGCGTGAGTAATTCTGAGGTTCGGCGGCGTGCGTTTGAACACAGTGGAGATCACCATTCATTGAGTGTCGTCATCTGTAAACACCGGCTCCGGTGGCTTGGACATGTGCTTTGAATGTCATCCCAGAGGCTTCCGTACAGGTCTCTGTTCGCTAGCCAGCCCTGGGAAGGGATGAAAAAGGCGGAGAGGTGGTCGGTCCATGACGTGGCGTCGTGGGTTGAAGGATTTTTGTGCTAGATTGGCATAGGTTGATACGGCATGACTCCCTGGTTGGGGTCCGAAAGATAGCTCAAATCGGTGGCTCGAAACGTTATCGGATATGACCAAGAATCGTAATCAATGGCGAGCGTGTTGCATTTTCCTTCTTTCTTCCCTTCCCGATGATAGCTAACGAACACTGTTTGAACTTGTTAAACATGAAGTTCTTTATCCGTTCTCTACTTATTTTTTTTCTCTTTTTTCTTTTGATCTATGTTGTTTTATTATTATTGTGTGGCGCATCCTTCTTGGTGTCATATTGTACCAAGTTTTTTATGCGTTTAAATATATATATACTATTTGAAACAATATACGGAAAGAATTTGGAAATAAAGCGAACAGCTTACCCACGGATTCCATTCTCTTGAAACACTGTCCGCATAGCATATAAAACATGACCTGATGCAAGTTTAGAATTCGACTACAAAATGGAGATAAAAGTAGAATGTGTATTGTCCTGATGTGATAAAAAAACTAAAACGAAAGACAATATTACCAACTCTAGTTTTCTCTGCATAAGCCGAAATGAAAATCGTTCAAGAAATGTTATGCATTAGAAATGAATGTAAAACTATAGTTACTGTAGCCTTTCGAATATAAAAAGACGCGATATACGCGTGTAAATGGCAAAGATACTGAATAGTACCTAACAGTTTATTTACTAGAATTCTCTCAACTGTACTTTCTATAAAATTTATAAGTTGGATTCAAACCAGCTTATAAAACATACAGCTTTTCGCATCATGTGTTGACGAAACCACAGTAAAACCATAGTGCGATTACTTTTCAATCTGATGTTTTCAGCTTTAATTACAGAAACTAAATAAAGGCATGTCTAATCGGTAAAGATTTATCCACTTGCGCATTCCCTTCTGTTTGCTGCCAACTTTTTCACCCCGCTCCAAGTATGCCCACATGCTTTCATCTCCTCCTCACATGACCTCCTCCAAGTCACCCTTACACTGACGACCAACTCGCTGCTTCTCTTTCGGGTTCCACTCGAGTGATGGCTTGTCTAGTGATGTCACTTGATGGTTTCCTCAGCGTATGGCCAATCCATCTCCATTTCTTCCTGCCTATTTGTTTCACAATCGGTTCCTGGTTGGTTCACTCATTGGCAGAGATCCCTGTTGCTGATCTCTTCCGCCCGGCCATCTGATCTTGAGTATTGAGCGAAGTCAACTGTTAATGAAGGTCTGAAGTTTGTTTAAGATGCTCTTTATGACACACCAAGTCTCTGATCCGTACAGTAGCACTGACTTCACACTGGATTTGGATATCCGTATCTTATTTTTGATGCTGAGTGCTGTTGACCACCGAACAAACTTGAGAATAATGAAAGCTCGTCTTGCTTTCCCGACCCCTGCTTTGATATCCTCGTCAGTTCTGTCCGCCTGTAGTTGAAATGATGCTTCTCATGTAGGTAAAGGAGGTTGTTTTTTTTCAGGTCCCTCCCATTTATGCTGACTGTCGTCTATTGTTGTTGCTGTTGACCAGAGATCTTCATCACCTGTTTTCCCTATGTTCACCTGAAGTCCTATCTTTGATGCTTCTTCTGCCAGCTTGTTGCTTTTCACTTGCATATCTTCCATTTTGATATATATATATATATATATATATATATATATATATATCAGTAATGAGAATACAGTTTATGGAAAAGGCAGTTTGGACGAGAATTGAGTATTTACAAGATGGTCGATGGATAGTAACCAATTTAGTATTTTAGATATAAGTATCGAAAAAATCTGTTGAGTACCGAGACCTCTTAACTGTACTCATCTGCTGACATTATACAGTAACACCTGGTATCAGCGAGCATTAGAGAAAGCATTATTCATTTGGAAATTTTATATAGTACTAGCGCAAACTAGCGCAAATAATTGTCACCAGAGATACAAGCTAGTTTTAATAGCTTTCATATTGCACCCTGTGATGAATTCATCAATCGTCACCTTCTTTTTAACAATTAGCAAACAAACGTCGTCAGAGGATCATACTTCTTTAGATAGGAACAGAGAAACTATCTGATCATACGACTTAAGCCAATATCATGTCGTGGGCCAATATCATAGATGCCTTTAAAATCAAAAGCAGCATAAATGATACTGTCTTGATTTACAGATTCTTACTTTTGAAACAAAAATACGCGATTAACAAGGGCTCTTCTTTACCCTCTTTGATTAGTCTCTTATTAGCGCTGTTTATCTCTTGTGGTTATGTTATATATAATGAGGCTCACTTTTTTGGTGTCCAGATCGCAGATAAATACTTACAAGCGCAGAGGAGGTAGAATAAAAATGCTAAACTAACCTCTGCCAACATGATTCGGGTTTTCGCCACATCTAATGGTGTAGTCACAGCGCCAGATATTGTACCTGCTAGGCATCCACACAAAGCTGATTGCCAGGCCTTCAAATGGAAGACTGATGGATCTGCAGTGGAATCACCTCCAATTGTCTTTCTGTTCCACTCCATAGTTACCGACTGGAAACAATTAATGCGACAATGATACACGTTAAAGGCAATCGTTTGGAATAATGTAAACGAATAAAACAAATTAAAATTCATCTGAAATTCTGTAGAGTACCATTTCAGAGTATACTCATCACGTTGGACGATTACGCTATTGTCTACAATACAACACTAACATCCTGCTTAAAGAGCTTCTACATTCTGGAAGTTCGATTCGGTTGTCACTTTTGTCGACAGAAAGTTGAAATTTTCGATGAAAACAAAAAACCAGTTGACAACTAACGTGGAAGTCTCAATTTCGAATATCATTTCTTCTATATGTTTGTTACTGAGATTATCTGAATTTATCTTAGAGTAGTTCACTAGTATTTATGCGTCACTAGTTCAGTGGTAGAATACTGTCCAGCCACGCGGGAGGTCCGGGTTCGACTCTCAGCCGACGCATTCCCAAACCACAACTAGCCAATAAGTAAGTCTGAGAGAGAGAGAGAGACGTCGGGTGAAAGGCTAGTAACCCCACCCCACAGAAAACACCACCATTACTGAGAGGCTAAGTTCTTCATTATTACTATACCTTTGTCTCACACCTCTGTTTACTGTCTCTAATATGCATTTCTTCTACTTTCTTCTCTTGCTTTGTGAGCTACATGGAGTGTGGCAACTTGAGCTGCCGCACATTGGTGCAAAGTTCTATGTCGAAAACAGACAGACAGACTATATTCCACTTAAAACGCAAGGAATAAAAGTGATGTAGGTGATATGTGGTCGAAATTGAAGCATTTGAACAACAGACTGCTAGGTTACTGACTCAGTGAACTACTGACTGCGCTACGACGGCCAATTGTTAATAGTCTTCATTTCACCTTGATCACTGTCAAAAAATAACAATCAGCTAGAAGAGTTATTACTGTACATAATTTGAATAACAATTAATCATCAGTCCTCCCCCCCCTTAGTTTACTGTAACTAGAACTGAAATGAGAAAACTCAACTGGATGCCTGGCGTAATAATAAACAGAAAAGACAGGAAAATTCATGAAAGTACATGCAGATGTTTAGTTGATCAATGAAAACGAAACTAGCGCTAAATAATTCCAGATTTACATGCAATCTCTGTTACAATGTAAACATTAGCCAACTAAGCATAGACTAATGCAGTTAACCCAATAATAACCTCTTTCCAACTGTATGATACTCCAATTGTAAGTGTGAGCAATAGCCCCTATATTTTGAATGAGACTTTCAACCAAGGTTTCATGCTTACTGGAACCCATCAGCAAAATGTACCTGCTTTTGCGCAGTTCTACGTTGACAATTCAGTTGCCAAGGTTTAGACACGAAACCATTATTACACCCCAGCGACCTATCAACGTATCTATTTCAGTCCTAAAGGACGTCAGAATGTATTGGGTCACATGAACTCCAGTTCTTGATGGAATATCAGTCCCCTGGACATTGCAAATACACTTTGCTAACAAATGCCATGGTTCCTGGTTTCCAACGTGTTGTCATCAACCAAATAACATCAACTGAAAATGCTTTCAAATGGTGAGTATATTGCATATTTGGATGGCGAACTTTATTCAACAGCTAGGACTAGGTATAAGCTGCACTCTAGTGGTCAAATAATATATTATGTGTCTGCTGATTAGTTTAGCCTTCTTTACTGTTCACCCTTATTCTTTCCTGGATTGTTTAAAAAAGACTATATCGTACTTCGTAGAACTCTAAAGACTGTCAGTAGGGCAAGTGGTATCCCATTGGGCCATGTCGTTGACATTGTCACGGATAGGCACTTGATGTCATGTAACAAATTTGCTAAAGGAATTTTGTTGCCAAGACAAATTACTATAAATTTGCGATTTGTACAGCTTGAGAATGATATCGCCGAAAAGAGTAACTCTTTGCTGAACACCTTTTCTTTTCTATAAAGGAATTTTGTCAGACTCTGAGCACCCACTCTACCCGCAGCTCCAACCATGTGTCTCCTCAGGTAAAACAAGAAGTCTTTTCAGAAGACTTTAAGCACGTACGTCTAAGTATGAAAATTCATCTACACCATATTTGATGAAAATGGTGTCAGGCATGAACTAACTAACCTTCTTTGCACTACTAAATAAACCATTTCCTCCACCCTTACACCATCAAACTTTATTGTTATTGTACTTATTATATTTATAATCCTCTCAATTTTTTGCTTTTGTTTATTTTTTCATAAGTGTGAATATCATTTAAGCTGTGTTATAACTGTTAATCTTGTATTTCCCCTCACTATACTATATCAACAGAAAATTAGATCCAATAATCTATAACATGCTAAAGTTTCCGAACTGAATTGCAAATACCGTTTGAAACAAACTCACTGTTATTATTATTATATTTAATAATCTCAATTCGTGCTTCGAATATTTTTGAATTTATATCGTAAACGCGGACAAATCCTTCTGGTTAATTTTGTTTTAATTTTTAATTTTATTTATATTTTGGGTAAATCAGATGCAATATTGTGACGAATGCCGAGAATTCCATTCTGCATTATGAGTACTGTTCTTGGAATAAAGTAAATTATTATTACTAACAAAGAACTTAAAGACTATAGATTTATTTGTTCGTAATATGACTGAATAATTTAGATGTTTTCTATTCGCTTTGAGTTCGGTACGAAAGCAAACTCAGTCTTAATTATTAGTTATTTCTTGGTTTCGCACTGTTGAACGTAACGGGATTCAGCCGACTTCGGTAGGAACAGTTTCACAGTTGTATAGATTGGTCATAGTGTTGAGTATAATGTTTACAATCTGTGTGTATACCATTACCAGTACTAATCAACAGAAAACAGATGTGTACACTTTGCCGGGGTAGACAAGATTTTTCTGCTCTGAATACATCTCATTAAGCTGACACGAAAGAGAGAAATAATAATTAGAAGATTTACCACTACAACTGCCTTCCCCTAACAGCAAGTTACAAGATTTCGAAATTATAAATGATAAAATACTGTGTTATGCTTGTTAACCTAAAAAAAGACATACTTTTAGATATTCCCATATAGGATATTGAATAAATGAAAATGGAATTTCGCGTGACAATGTGCTTATATATCCTCTGTAGAATCCTCGAACACCCTAGAAAAGAGAAACTATCCAATTATAATTTCAAACAAAAGCTATTGAAATAAATGAAAACAAAGTTAATTCTCATCGTCTATGCCTGTTCTATTAAGATATTCAAATCTCCAGTAATCGTTAATCACCACTATTCAATGAAAGATTAGAAGCTCTAATTTTAATTTAGTGCACAACCTATAGAATAAAATATGAAGTCAGTCATCACATTTTACAACAACCACAACCTTGTCACTTCTCATAATTCAACCGACGGTTCAAAATGCCGAGGTGCAAGGATGATCTTCTAGATGGAAAAGTGTAAAAGCGCCCGATAGTTGTAATGAGATCTAAAATAATGAAACAGATAGATGTTGCTTTGCAATATTTAAGAGACTGCACTTGACAAAACAGTAATGAAAAGCATAATGAATGTCTGAAATACACTCATATATCCATAATTAATGTATTAATACAAAAAACTTAGAATGATATGAAGACGTATCGAAGGACAGGTTGATACGATGAGGAAGTTTATACTGTTTTTCAAGTCAAGGTTCAGTTCTGATCACTCGATTAACTATTAATAGTCACAAAAAGATACGTCAGACAGGCATAGACCATTTGATTATATATATATTTCCCCTTGGGCGTCCAAAGGGGAAATGGAGAAGTGTGAGGAGGACATGACAGCCTATGGGCAATCATGGAGGCACCTAAAGAGGACTGTAGAGAACAGGGGAAAATGTAAACGTGTAGCCTGAATATGTATTAGCGGAGAATACGCAAGGCACTGATGAATATGACGACTGTACACTGGGATCAGAACCAGAAAAGAGTTTTCGGTTCTAAAGACCAATAATATCTCCAAGCCAGAAAGTTAACAGGCACCAGGCATATAATATATTTACACTGGTAGTGTGAAGTACACAAATTCAACACTGGCAGCATTATATTAAGCGAATAACCACGTTTGAACCCATCAGATATCTCCAAGATATAACACATCAGTGGTTCAAAATACTCGAATTCTGCCTAACGGAGCCTATTTTTTGATATGGTACACAGTGAGGACAGTAAAAACTACAATTTGTGTTCTACGTGCTCAAGTTGTTAGTATTGGTTGTAAAATCAACAACAGTTGAAGTTGTATCGAGAGTGGTATTAGCAGGAGAAGAACGAAGACAGAGAAAGAGAATACGCAATTGAATACACTGTGTGGAAGGGAGTGTGCAATTTAAGGGCCGATATTTCCTAGTTTTTCCCTTGTAAAATGACAAGGAGACACAGTATCTCTGTTGATAGCTTAAGATCTATAGCTTACTGAAGTTACACTCTTTTGGCCCAACTGTACTACTTTAAACTAATACTTCAAGCTCACACTATAACGAGAAATACTTCAACTATTACCGATATTCAACCAACCTTCAAGGAACGCTGAGACAACCTAGAACAATTGTTTCAGCCACTATACTCTCTTGGATCCGTGCAATTTCGCCAGACTAAAAAGCACACTTAAACGGCAGTTGTAGATACAATGAACCCTCGAAAGTGCTGCTATACGCATTGAATAAGTCTAAGGCTAGCTGCAGTAAGGAAAAGCACCAAGAGCAGATTATAATTAGGATTGTACTAACCGATGATGATAGTTATTATCATTGGTATTAGCAAAATGATAATTTAAAGACTCACTAACCTCATTGCGTAAAGTTTGAAGAAACACAGTTGAAACTCCATGAGAAGGATGATTTTGTGCCCTTTGTTTTACTACCTCACATGGGACTCTTATGACACAAGCAACCTAGGAACTGCATATCAAAAATTAAAAAAACCTTACAACTTCAGCAATACATGCGGATATCATAGAATAATATACAGGATGCACACCAAGGTGTTTGAAATTTTCTTTAACGGTCTCATAGACTACAAAAAAAGCTGCAGCTGATGTAAGTCTTTTTAGTCAACAGTAAACTAAGTTACCTGCAGGAGCAGAACCCACAATGACTGCTGGTAAACCAGCGAAAAGACGAAGAGATCCCGGTGTTCTTTGCACATTATTACGATAACTTTGCAAACGTGTTTTAATAGTGTCGACTGGGAACAATGCAAGATCAACACAAAGTCCAGCAGTTGAACCTGACTAAATAAGATGAGATAAAAGAATAAAGCTCACCAGTAACGAAATGACGTACGGGTTGCTGCTGTTAGCATTCATGGTTAGCCAAGGGCAACAAGAACGACCAACTTTCCCACAGTATAGTTAACCTGAAAAAGTAAGGGAAAATAAATGAAAAGGATGAAATAAAGCTATTTCGTATCTTTCTGGCTGGTGTTTAGTTCCCAAACGAATGCTGTGTTAAAAATTATAAAGCCGCGTATTCTTAGGTAATAGGCACATTACAAAAAAGACTTATGCGTTAGTTATGCTGAATTATCATGCTCTTTTTGGTGCGCAGTCGGTTTGGCCCCCAACATATATACATTTATAAGTGCTCAACAACCAGTGAGTTCTGCATAAACTAATAACTCTACGAATACGCCAATAAAATGATTGCATTATATTGTACGTCCTACGTTCGGACTCGTGGATATGGTGGGTCCTAAAAACGCTTCTGTCGGTTCCGACACACATTTAAACTGTTAAGAATTAGGTTATACTGAATAACTGGTCTCGAAGATAAGTTCTAGTTCCTCATATATTCTTAAATCTCACCCAAGCTTCCTTGATAGTTCCATTTATACTAACTAAACAGTCAATTAGGGTTGTTGCATTCCGGTTTGTCGATATATCCGCTTCCTAAATGTTTGGATGAGGAGTTTTTGGCCCATGGGCGAAGTCATAAATCTTTAAGTAAAAATAATGACTATATGATCACTACCGTCTAGAGGTGGAAAGCACCTAGTGTCGCTTACATCCTCATTCAAATTATATTCGCGGTCGCTTCGCGCTGGTAAATGCACATGCTATGCAATCACACATTTGAGAACTATCAGAGTAAGTTTTCTGTTGAAACAGGAATATAAGATGAATGATGTTAATTCTTCCCAGTTAATTTGTGGGGTATTTAAGTCAACTACTATCAGATATCTATCGCTACCTGTTCACACCCTCAGATGATCTAGTACGAAGTCACTACATTTGCGGGAAAGACTTCTTTGAATAACGTTGACCGTTACAGTACCCCTATTCAGGTTAATAACAGACCTTGCAGTTTCGCTAGCACCATTATCATGTGCTTCTGAGAATGCTGACCTAATTCCTATGTCGTGCCAGATGTACACGGTAACCCCGCCCTCCCTTAGAAAAGTACTCTGTTCTAAAGCATATATACCCCAGTATGTGTGGAGTGTGGCCCACACCCACTACAAACCATGTCTCAGTAATTGTTACATCAGGTTGCAATCTTTGAGATAATAACCCTAATTAAGGAGGCTTGTTCCTAAGACTACATGCGTTCGTTTGGAACACTGATACACATATATGCTCATTTGACTTATGAAGAGAGGTCTTCGCAACAAAGGTTTCTGAAACCTTGCCACCGGGAAACCCAATATCTTAAAGTCTTTTTCCCTTTTATCTAACCAGGCCTTCAATTTCATCACATTTCCCCTCCTCTAAATTTTGTCCTCCTGAGGCTAATCAGATCTTCTTCTCGACTTCTCATACTTGATCTTAAATGCGTTGTTGAGAATAAGATTCTTGATTTTAGATGGTTGGAGGCAGTCGACGACAGGAAGCCTTGGAACTAGGTTTCGTGCTAGTTGGCACTCATCAGCAAGGCGTAACTGTAACTTTGAAGGAACTCATGTCTCTTCTGGTATTCGAACCCACGTCACCCAGTGCGGCGGCGAGACTGCCACTAGCAAGTAACTCAGGTCTAAAGCCTCTTGCCTTCGACCGTCTAACATCAACAATTCAGTGTACCGTGATAGCGAGTTACCTAGCATGGTGGCCACGTTGAAACTTCACTGGTAGAAATCAGTCTGCACCAAACAAAAAACTAGACACATTACACTAGTTGCTAACGATTTTCCAAGACTAACATTTTACCATCTCATTTCCTAGAACCACTTTTGGTAGTCGTCGAGATCTTTGTAGTATTTCATTTTTCGACTCTGATAACCTTGCTTACATGAACTTCGTTTGTTGAACCGAAATTGCTTAAAATGGAGCCAACCGCATTGAGGTCCTGTGCAGGGTGAACAGGTGGATTCCCTCCTGTCCATCCCTCCAAGTTCCAAACAATGAAACCATAAGCTGAGTCAGCTCTCAAAACAGTATTCACGGCCATAAAGACCTTAATAATAGATACACCGGTTGTCTTTTAACTTCTAATTTTCCGTACTGCTTAAGTGGAGTTAGTTCCCTCCATTGTGGTCTCGCCGCAACCAACAGGCATCCGATAACTCAAAATGCCATCCTTCGTTATAGTAATTTCGCCAGCTGGTCGTACGACGCTAGCACTACCTAACTGTTGGATTTTCGAAACTTCTCAAGTCTCTTTATAGCAGATTTTTGAGAACACTGGACCTCTTTTGTAGGAATTGGTTTAGGGTGCAGTTCCGCAGTTTTCAATACTCACTTAGGCTACTCAATGACTGGAACTCCCTACTTGATCAAGTAATATCAGATCCTACGGTGGACGTTTTCACAGAAATGAGATCTACATAAAGGTGTGTACTGGTAAGATTAACACAAGTCATACGAGCCCACTATGCTTAATGGTATGAATCTGTATTCGTTCGCAAGCGCCCAAGCACCTACAACGGCATACATAAGAAACTATCACCGTTGGGTACTGCGAATATCTAGTGGGCAGCATTTATCGATCACCTTCATGTGGAGCAGACCACAACCAGGTGCTGATAAATACAATTTCAGCGAATCAAGACATGGGTTATGATCAAATTGTCATAGCTGGCGACTTCAATGCCCCATCTCTTAACTTGGTGTCGGGAAAAGCCCATGATAGATTTGATCGAAATCTGCTGCATACCATCAGGAAGGCTGGATTCACTGAAAATGTCACGATGGATACTAGATGGGGCCCGGATGGGAAGTCTTCTAGACTGGATTATGTGCTCACTAGTGAACAGCTACTAGTGGAAAACGTTCAGATCACGACTCCCATAGGTAGTAGTGACCACGCAGCCATAGTATTCGACATAGTCCTCTGCGAACGCTTACAGTGGGACAATACACAGCCCTATCTGTGTTATAACAAAGCCAACTGCACCGAAATGCGAAGACTTCTGTCTGAAGCAAATTGGCCTAAAAATGGACAGAGCTAACAGTAGAAAAACACTGGAGAGTGGTAAAGGAGATCATTCACCAGGCGGTCTCAGACACTGTTCCTTTAGTCACACCAAAAGCTAGGAAGCAATGTTCATCGCTAAATAGGGGGACACAACGCTTTCTGCAGGCGAAGCGAAAAGCCTGGTGTGCGTGGCGACGATCGAAGAGTCAACCCGAACATGAAGTGTACCTTGAACTCAGGAATAGATATACCATACGAGTCCGGAGCGATAGAAGGACATTTCAGGGAAACCTCGCCAATAAGCTTCTCATGAACCCCAAAAGCCTAGACAGGTTTATGTCTGAAAGGAAACCGACCAACCAGGGAGCATGCAATCTAGTGGGCTCTGATGGGAAACCTCTTACTAGTCTTGAAACGGCAGAGACATTCAGCCTAGCCTTTCATAGGCAACTAAACAGTAACGAGGATATTACCCCCACAAAACATCAAGATTACAATGCAAAACCAACGCGCGAAAACCTCCTGGGTACATTTCAAATTACCCCGGCTATGGTACTTGTAAAATTGGGAAAGTTGGCTTCGGAAAAGTCTTCAGGTTGTGATGACATCAGACCATCCGTCCCGAAGCAGTGTTCAGAAAGTCTCTACCAACCCCTAAGTGATCTGTTCCAACACTCCCTTGATGTAGGGAAACTTCCATGTGAATGGAAACGAGCAATCCTATCCCCTATCTTCAAGGGTGGTGACCGGCAGAATGCGACCAGTTACAGACCAGTTGCTCTACTTCCAGACTGAGTGGTGCTCGGGAAGCACAAACACGAGAGAGCCAGGCAGGCTTTAGACCAGGAAGAGGGTGTATTGATCATATCTTCACCCTCCGACAGATTCTAGAACATAGGCATTCCTACCGGCGTCCAACAGTCATTATATTTCTTGACCTAAAGGCAGCACTCGACTCTGTCGATCGAGAAGTTCTCTGGCGATGCTTGGCTGTAAAGGGAATTCCAAGAAAATATATTGCACTGATTAAGGCACTCTACTCGTACTCATACAGCCAGGTGAGGGCTTACGGCGAGCTGTCATCTGAACTGATGACGACCAGTGGTGTCCGTCAAGGATGCCCATTATCTCCTTTTCTATTCAACTTCATCATAGATGTACTAATGGACTTAACCCTAACTGACTTCAGCGACTCAGGGATTGACTTGCTACCAGGTAATAATCTCGTTGACTTAGAATATGCAGACGATATAGTCCTTCTAGGCGAAGACGCTGACGAAATGCAGAGTCTTCTGAACACCTTGAGCTGCAATCTACGAATGTTTGGCATGCAACTCGCTCCCGCCAAATGCAAGATGATGTTACAGGACTGGACTACATCGACGCCTAGTTTAAAAATAGGAAGTGAAGTGGTAGAGCATGTTGACCGCTTCACTTATTTGGGAAGTACCATCAGCCAGTGCCAACGGGTTGATCTCTGACGAAATCTCAGCACGAATACAAGGGGCTCGTTTCGCATTTGTTAGTTTACGCCGACTCTGGCGTAGACGAGATGTTCGACTATCGACCAAAGGGCAGGTGTACTGCTCATCAGTCCGCTCCGTCCTCCTTTATGGTTGTGAGACCTGGCCACTCAGAGTGGAAGACATGAAAAGACTAGCTGTCTTTGATCATAGGTGCCTGCGTTCTATTTCCCGTGTAAAGTGGCATAATAAGGTGAGCAACATGGAGGTTAGGCGTCGAGTTCTAGGTAAGGAGGGGAAATCAATCGACGAAGTCGTGAAGCTACAAAGACTGAGATGGTTAGGACATGTGTTACGTATGCCAAGCCATCGCCTCCCTCGACGAGCAATGTTAGCAGATATAGGATCAGGCTGGAAAAAAGCTAGCGGCGGTCAAACAAAAACTTGGCATCAGTCAATGAAATCCACAACAGTTAGTCTAAGCCACGTAGAAAGGTGTAGACTTCCAGGCTGGGGTCCTCGGGACGGTAAAAATCTATGGTTGGAAACAATTGGTGACATGGCTCAAAACCGTTCTCAGTGGCGCAGATGCATCCACTCCTTGTGACTTATGATCTTCAATGAAACTGTTTTGTATTTCTTTATTACTCCTTTGTCTCACACCTCTGCTCACTGTTTCTATTATGCTTTTCTTGTACTTTCTTCTCTTGCTTCGCGTGCTACACGGAATGTGGCGACTTGAACCTCCGCACATTTGTGCAAAGTTCTATGTCGAAAACAGACAAACAGACAGACTTCCAGTGATATCGAAAATATTGGAAAGTCTCATTGACGACCACATGAGAAAATATTTCGACGGGACTAACCTCCACGAAGCACAACATGGTTTCAGAAGGAGAAGATCCTGCGTGACGAATCTTCTGCTAGCTTGGAACGATTGGACACTATCCTGAGACGAAAAAGTACCAGCCCACGTGATCTTTCTCGACTTTGCGAAAGCATTCGACACAGTTCACCATGGTCTGTTGCTTCACAAGATAAGCAAGGTGGGTGTTTCTGGAGCACTTCTCGCATGGCTGAAAGATTACTTAGGCGAGAGAGAATTCTGCACCAAAGTCAACCGCATCCGATCATCCTGGCACACCTCGGCATCAGGGGTTCCTCAGGGTTCTATCCTAGGGCTGTTGATGTTTTTGATTTTTATCAACGACCTCCCCCTCAACTGAACTGCTCTGCGCTTCTTTACACTGATGACGTAAAGATTTGGAGAGCAATAAACTCATCGCAAGACTCAGATAGATTGCAGGCTGACCTGCAAACTCTGGGAGACTGGGCTCTGGCTAACGGGATGCCTTTCAGCCTAAAGAAGTGCAAAGTAGTGCAACTTCATTCCGGCAGGTCACAGAGTGTAAATTATACCCTTGGTGGCCAGAACTTGAGTTGTGTTCCATCAGAGCGCGGTCTAGGTCTTATTCTAACAGAAAAGCTAGAGACCAGTGGAAATTACCCAAGGGACGTCACCAAAGTCTACGCGACTTTACACTTTCTGCATAGGCAGCTGGGAGCTCTTACACCCGAACTGCTCTTAAGGTTATATAAGACATATGCAAGGCCAAACCTTGAGGTGCATAATATCATTGCTCTGCTACTCAAAAGGGATGCTAACATTCTAGAAAGTGTCCAGAGACGAGCGACAAAATGGATGATCGGCCTCCACAACAAATCATACGAGAAAAGACTAAAGAAATTAGGTCTTTTCACACTTAGTTACCGTAGGCACAGGGGAGACCTCGTCACCGTCTGTCAGGTCTTAAATGACCAGGCTCACCCAAATAAAACCATCCTGCCATTAAGTGATTATAGGCTTCCACGAGGTAACCCGCTAAGGATACCACACCAGAGACCAAAGACTCGAGTGCGCTCACATTTCTTTTCGCTTCGAGTTTGCCGTCTCTGGAACGCTTTACCGGCGGCCGTGACTACAGCGCCATCTCTGGAGATTTTTAAGCGGAAGCTGGACAATCATGCAGAAATGCAAGGTTTGTGTCTCAATGGCTTATCCTCATAAAACTTAAAACAACAGTCAATAAATAAGCATACAAACTAAATCCCCACGACCTGTTCTGCCTTTTCGCACTGTACCGACTACTCTATCTTTTCCTTAGGTCACCTTTATTATTTCACTTATCTCAACCCATATTACCTACACTACAACCTATTATTATTATTATTACTATTCTGCTTTTATGACTGCACTGAATGACCAACGGGAGTTAGGTCAAACTCCATTCACGGCAGAAACACAGTCCTAGCACACTGTATACTACAAACCACATCTTGACCAATCCCCGCACCACTCCTCTTGGAGTCTACCAGAGCTAAAGCAGTCGAGTGGCGGGATTTACTACGCAGAAGATCACCGAAGATCTGGAACCTTTACCTCACAATCAAGATGTGAGCTCCAAGAAATCACTGGTTTATACTAGCTCGTAATCAGGATATTGGATATTGCATATTGGTAAGACACTAACTAAACACCATACGTTTGCATTACTCACCTTGAACAAAATCAGACTAGTGTAACCAAAGCAGGCTGACCTTGGAGTAGACTTGGGTTTGGCAGACAAAATGCCCGTCACATAGGAGCTGAAAAGAGAACGCTAGTAGGTAAGGACGTGTATCCCACACAAAAGTGTAACACAATACGTGCGGCAACAACAAGGAGGGCAAAGTTTAAGAATGGAGTCCCAAGAGATGCGAACGCACAATGACCTTGAGCCGACCAATAAGAAAATAGGAGGAATTTTGCATAAAATTTAACGTATATTTACACAAAAATGCATGAAAAAAACATTAAACGGATTATATTTCTCTGATATGACTTAAAAATACGTTCCAGTTGCGATGAAGAGTATCAGTTGCTAATTTGGACTAGTTTCTGTAGATGTATTCACCAAAGAGACTGAAGGTGTGCTGTTTTGGGAATGGTACATCTCTCTTCTCTTGCTGTGTAGTCCTCTCCTCAGCCCTCGGTTTAGTTACTATGGTTCCAGTAAGAGGATTGGCGACTACATACAAGGGAAATAAGGATAACAAAAGAACTTGAAATAAACGAAAAATCTATTCCTAATAGCTACCCTAACCCTAATTCTAACCCTAACCCTAAACCTAACCATAACCCTAACCCTAACCACAATACTCGCCTTAACCCCTATCCTAACCCTAACGAGATGTTAACACATTGTCCAAACAGTAATAAAAGTGTTATCTGGGTGAAACTTGCTCCTTATTTGATGAATAGGGTTGATATTTCAGCTATGATAATGACAGGAACCGTTAGCCAACGACTAGCATGCGTTCAAGGTCATTTGAGCGTTGAAGGTTTTGGGACCCTATTCTTAAACTTCGCCACAAGGAGTAGACACCAACTTCAGATGACCTTGAAACAGCCGATCATATTCTTTTGCGTGAAAAGTGGTACTTCCAATATCCAGTATCTCTTTTACGAGCTAGTGCAAACCAATTTGATTTCTTTGAGCTCGCTTCTTGATTGTAAGGCATAGGTTCTTGATCTTCGGTAAACTTCTGCTTAGCTCGTCCCGCTACTCGACTGTCTCTGGTTAACTCCAAAAGGAGTGGTGCTGGGACTAATTATGTGTGGTTTGTAGGATGAGGTGTGTTAAGACTATTACTACTGTTATTGGAACTGATCCCTTCACCAGTTAGTCCTCCAGTATCGCCTTCAAAAGAAAAGAGATAATAACAGTAATAATAATAGATATAATTAGTGAAGTTATTCAGACTAACTGACAGAAAAAGAAATAAGAAAACGTAACATCAGTCAACTGATTAAATTTGAAGAATAATATGAATAATATATCGGTAATAATGATAATAATGAGTGTAGTTAAAGTTGTCAGGAGAGTAATACGAGAGAGAATGTAAAGAAGTAAAACGACGAACTTAGTTGTCTACCCCAAATGGTGCATGGGATTTCAAGAGGATACGCCATTTGGACGCAGTCCTTGAGTCGCTGCATGGTTGTCCAGCCTTCGCTCAAAGGTGTCCACAGACGGTGCCATAGCTACACCTGCCGATAATCGATTCCGAGGACGACAAACCCCCCTCAGTAAAAAGAAGTGGGAGCGCACCCAGGTCGTTTCCCTCTGGTGAACTACCCTTCTGAGATTTCCGCGAGAAACCCTATACTTACTTAATGGCAGAACACCTTTGTTTGGGTGATTCTGGTCATTTGTTATTTTGTAGGCAGTAATTAAATCTCCCCTAAGCCAATGGTAGCTAAGTGCGAATAGGCCCAATTTCTTCAGCCTTTCATTATATGGTTTGTTTCGGAGACTAAACACTCCTTTTATCACCCGTCTTTGGGCTCCTTCCAAGTGGCTGGCGTCTCTTCTAAGCAGTGGGAGTGCTGCGATATTAAACACTTCAAGGTGTGGTCTGAAGTACGCTTTGTACACCCTTAGAAAGACCTCAGGAGTGAGCGCGCCTGTCAATGTGTACAGCGCATGACTGCATATGCCCTCGCTAAGTCCCTTGTGTAATTTACGCTTTTTTTCCCGTTAGAACTAGACTTAAGTCGTGCTTCGATGTTGTACAGGAAAAGCTTTCATTGTACAGGGCATAACTTCCATTCTGTAGCCTACATGTGCGTAACTTCAATACTTAGCACTTTTTCGGACTGAAAGTCATGCCACTGGCCACCGCCCAGGCTTCCAGAAGGTTTGGATCTGCCTGCAGTCTATCTGAGTCTTCCAAACACTTGATTTCTTTCTATGTCTTTACGTCGTTAGCGTATAGAAAGGTTGGGCAGCTTAGACGGCAAAATCAAAAACATCAATGGTCCAAGGACAAAGCCCAGTGACACTCCTGACGACGAGCTGTGCCAAGATGTTCGGACTTGATTAGCCTTAGTGCAGAGCTTCCTTTCATCTAGGTAGTCCTCCAACCATAACAGAAGTGACTCACCTATACTTGCCTGACTTATTTTGTGTAGGAGAAGTTCATGATGAACTGTGTCAAATGCATTCTCAAAGTCTAGAAGACCATATGGACTGGAACATTCATATACCAAGCTGATAGTGGTTTTGTCACACAGGATATGCCTTTCCTGAAACCATGTTGGGCCCCATGGGGTATATTTGTCCTACTGAAGCAATCCCTGATGTGATCGTCAGTAACACTTTCCAGTACTTTTCATACCACAGGGAGCAGAGCTACTGGTCTATAACTAGTGGCATTTTGACTATCCCCACCCATGAAAAATGGAGAAGGGATGGCTCTTTTCCACTCCCTTGGCGGTTTCTCCAAATCCAATGAGTGTTGAATCAAATCGCGTAAGGGCCCACAGATAGTTTTGGAGCAGTTTCAGAACAGATGGCTTGATGTCGTCACAGCCTGGGAACTTCCAAGGTGTGAGTCGCTGTAGCTTCTATAGTACTACTGCTGGGTTTATTTAATGAGTAGTCAATAGGTCTTTCTCCGGTGAAATAGTAGTGCCACCATTTTGGTCCGTACCGGTAATACCTACATTACTGTTTGGCTGTTTAGCGAAGGCCAAAATGAATGTTTCAGCCATCTCTGAACTAGTGAAATACTGACCATTTGGGCCTACTAAGGCACATGCCCCCTGATTGGTTGGTTTTCTTTCCGACATGAATCGATACATGTTTTTCGGGTTTACTGGGAGTTCTTGGCAAGGTTAGCCTGGAATGACTTCCTGTCCCTCCTGACTCTTGCGTTCTATTGGTTCCTGAGTTCCAGGTGTGCGCCGTGGTCGATCTGACTCTTAGATACACGCCACGTAAAACAAGCCTTCCGCTTTGCTTGCAGAATACGTTGCATGCCTCCCTTCATGACTTTCTTTTGGGCTGTGTTGTGACTAAATAACAGTATCCGAGATTGTTGTATGAATAATCTTTTTACCACTTCCCAGTGTTCATCCGAAGATAGCTCGTCCTATGCTAAAAGCCATTCTGAGTCGGACAAAAGACTCCGCATTTCAGGATAGTCAGCCTTACTATAACACAGACATGGTCACGTAACGTCCAACTGCAATTGTTCATGGAGAACGAGATCGAAACCTATGACTGCATGGTCACTACTTCCTAGAATAGTCATGATCTCGACCTTTTAGAGGAGTAGCTGTTCACTAGTTATAATACAGTCGAGTTTTGATGACTTTTCACTAGAGCCCCACCTGGTGTCGTATCCAACATTCTTAGCCAATCCTGTATTTCAAATAGTTTGCAGATTTCGGCCGAATTTTCCCTTAGCATACCCCGAGCCAAGGTTCATTGATGGGGCATTGAAATCTCCGGCAATGGCGATTTGGTCATAGCCCAAGTCCCGTTTCCCTGTGATAATGCTGAGCAGTGGCTCGTTGTGCTCTTCCTCACAGGTTGGTGATCGGTAGACGCCACCCAGTAAATGCCTGGTGTGGCCTACGGTGAAATGACACCATATGGAGTCTGCGAGTTCAATAAGTGGTGGGTCCGTTGCGCGTACACATTTAAGTTGCCTGTCACACCAACTCCCCCTCCTTCCTTAATATCCCTGTCTCTCCTGACCAGAACCATATCACCTATGCTGATTTCGTTGTTGGCGATAGTGGAGGTTAGCCAGGTTTCAGTGAGAATGATTATTTTAAGTCGTAGGTGTGATTGGAGATTTCTGAGTTCAACTACTTTTCCTCTCAGCCCCCTCACATTGCTATATAGTCAGCTGACAGCGAGTCTATCAACACCTCACTGTGTTGTGGGGTAGTTGACGTGAAGATGTCTGCTGGTGGGGGACTTGATGTTGGGACCAGTTTGCCGATTCCGATGAAACCGGCTTCCCTTAGTTTTTCTGCATGGATTCAGGTAGGACATCTGGATAACACAGGCTGTTATTCTCAGTACTGCATCGCTCTAGGGCCACCGAGGCTTGGGGACGTATTAAAGCCTCACTTTGCCGCTTCTTTATGGCCTGGGGTCTGCTTTCGCAGCACTGAATGTATCCTCCCATTTTCCCTTGGTCTCACACCACCGTTAAATTGCTATTACCAACTGCTCCGGGGAGTTGAATGTGACACTTCGCAGCTTTGGAGGGCTAATCAGTGTGAGATGAGCGGGGAGAGGTAGTCGGTAAATGGAGGTTGCTCCAGAAGCACCAAGGACCATGTGAGATGACAGCCATCTCCATCGCTGTACGTCACGCATGTGTTTTTTACAAGCAGCCCCAGTTTCCAGCCTCGAAACACCGTGTACAACCATAGAAGTAGAAGGCATCAGTTCCGGTGACTCCCTCGCCATTTGTCTGATAGTCCATGGTCTGTCGTGCCTCATCCTTATGCTAGATTTTCTGGCTAGTACCTGAGGCATTATTAATATTCTTTCGGCCCCTTCGGCAGAGTTCAGTGTAACCTTTATTGGGGATGGTTTACCTTGAGGCGTGTGGACACCCCTGTACAGCCTGCACAATTTTGCTGAACTAATGTTCAAACCTAATTTGTTGCTGATCAAACAGGACCCGTTGTTTAA